GAAATACATACACACACAACCACACGAGTAACGGCGCGTGGCAACGGAGGGAGTGCGAGGGGCCTGCATTGTCGTTGTTTGTATTTTCGTTTTTGACGGCCCCAGTCTCCGTTTTTTTTTTTTTGTGTGTGTGCGTGTGTGTGTGTTTTGGCCGCCACATCAGCGGCTTGCGTGCGCGAGGGACACACAGCGAGGGAGGTGCCAGCGCCTGCGTCCCGCGCCCTGCAGAGCGGTATCCGTCACGCGAAGCAGAGAAGTGACACGGACGCCAGGCACTTGGCAGAAGCAGCGGCTGTGGGAGTCGGCACTCGTCCAGGCAGACACAACACACAATATACAAACGTGCTTCACAGCAGAAACAGAAGGCAAAAAAAAACAGGTAACGAGACACGCGGCGTAGGAGAGATATAAGGAATCAAAATAACGCAGGCAACGAACCTGCATCGAAGCCAGACACGTGGGGAGGTCAATGGGTGCATTACCGAGTAGGGAGACACAGCGGCGGGGTTTGTACAGCCACCGCCATGGACGTAACCGGCGGAATGAGGTGATGCTTATTCCCCTCACCGCCGAGTTCTTCCCGGACGACCACTGTCCTCTCTTTGAGCGACTCTACCAGGCGCGGCACCACCGCACAGCGAAGTACTACTACCGTGCCGTTCGTCCTGCGAGCACGGACTGGGAGTCAGACTACTACTGCCAGACAATCGCTCACGCCTACGGTCTGGACCTGAGCGACCCGGAAGGGTTAAACAAGGACGGCGTCTTTGAGACCTCCTTCAGTGACAGCATCGAGGGTCTCTACCACAGACTCGTGCGGGAGACAGAATACTGCATGTGTGAGTCGGACGATGAGCTGCGGCAGCGATACATGGAGCAGCTACGACAACAACAACGGCAGCGAAAACCGCAACAACGACGGCAGGCAACAACACGACAAGCCCCTGGCACCATGCAAGATGAATACTTTGGAACGGGGTCAGGCGCCTATGTGGCCGGCTATAGGGATGCCTTGAACTACATGCAAGGTAAAGAGCAACACACGCACCGAAACCGTTACGGCACCCATGTGACGTCGCCGGCCGCCTTTTACCTCCGTCCGGTGCCATGCGCCATTGTATCACGCTACGATGCCCAGCGGCCACACGCCGAGGAGGGGGTGGAGTTTCTCGGGTCCACGGTGAAGGTGCTTGGAATGTTTGGCCTCTTCCCCACAACAATACCCGCAACTGTCAATGGGGAGACCATCGAGCAGCACATGCTGAAAGCCACCATGTTTGTGGATAAAGACGTGGGCGATCAAATCCTCGGCAACGTTGTGATGCTGGCGGTTCACATGTACGTTCGACAGTGCATGGAGGCGCACATTCGGGCACCGTTTATCCCCATGGTGCCCTTTATCCTCCGCACGCCCATCTCTAACATTCCCATGCTCCAATTTGTGCGAGAGATGCGGGTGCGACTTCACGCGCTGCTTGACGCCGGCACCCCGCGGAACGGTGTGCGCCCGGACGTCAGTGGCTTGCACGGAGGCGTCGGCAACGGTGGTAGTAGCAACTCCCTTTCTAGCGCCGACGGCGGAGAGATGGGTGACGCGGCCATAGGGAAGCACGACTCGGACGCGTTTCTCTTTGAGGAGGATATACCGAGTGGGACGTCGCCAAGACAACTCTTCACAGATGCGTCGGAGACAAAGTGGCTGCGGAGCCACCCAAACCAAAGCACAAACGTGGGGGGCAAGCCGCCAATCCTTATGGTGTCTGGTGTGAGCGTGCAGACGACCCCCTTGAAGCATCCCTCCATGACAAGCATGTCACATGTGCACCCCCCGGCGTGGGCGACCGCGACCGCCGCCGCCGCCGCCGCCAATCCGCCCCTTCCCCAGACGAACCCGTTGCAGCAGCAACAGCAGCAGGCGGCTAGGTCGGCACTGCTTCTTGCCTGTCGCCGAAATCGCTTTCGCATTTGGGTCGAGGATGGCCGGTTGTGTGTTTGGGCGAGTGCGGCGTACGCGCGTCGTGGGTGCCTCATCCTGGCGCAGCAGCTCACCCTGACGGTGGCCAGCAACGTCTTGCCCTTGCCACGCTCGTGGAACTACCGCGGTCTTCTGCGAAGCGGCATCCCCGTGCCAGTGCCCATGCAACAAAATGACGTATTTATTGTGGGTCAGGACATGCCCGCTGTGGGGCTTTACCAGGGTGACGTGGTGCGCTGCAGCACCCTGCGCGAGATTGCCGACTACCGACAGCAGCGGAGACTCTCCGCCGTCGTGAGCCCCGTCACGGCCACCACACCACAGTTTGAGAAGGCCCAGCCGCCACCTGTGTTTAACGCCCCGGGCGCTCCGTCCGCCGTTGGGTCACCCACCACGCCCGAGCAGTCAAACCCGGTGCTGAACTACAGCAGCAACCACGCCAGCAACGTTCTCCTGCAGGACTATGGGGAGGCACCGGCGGGAGCCTTTTGGGTCCACGTCGCGTTCGAGCGTGAGCCCGTGGGGTCATCACACAACGAAAAGGGGCGGCGCAGCAACGCGTCGGATGTGCAGCAGTACGACTCCATTGCATACAGGCAGACGAATGTGGAGGAGGTGCTCCTGTCGTGGATCAAGGGGATATCCATTCAGACTCGCGATGCCCTTGAGACCGAAGAGCATTGGGTGCGGGATCCCGTCAGCGGGGAGCCGGTGCGCGTGGACCGCTACGTCATTCGTCGCGTGGAGCATGACGGCATCCGCCACTTTATCGGCGTCACCCCCCGCTTTATTGGGCAACAGCGACGCCTCGAGAAGGGGTTAATGGAGTTGCGGGCGATGGAGGGGGAGGTGGCGGGCCTCAACGCGGATGACGGCAACGAGGCGGGGGAGGACAGCGAGGGGGAGGTGGGCGGGCCGTAACGCGGA